ATATGTGTCAGTTTGTGGTTTATTGGAAGAGTTTATTAACATCTAGGCTATCAAACATATCAGTTACAGTCAAGCGTCGTTGACAATTCAAGTGTCACCGTACGAGAGTTTTCCATCCACCGCACAGTGTCCCTGGCAGGCGTACGATGCATCCAGTCGCAAGACTCGAATTACATCCGTAATTTCCCCATTTGGCCACTTGAGTCGCGGCATAACTTGAGTAACTCATCGAATAGGCACGCCGATCTTTAAAAGGCATTCTGAACTTTGATGCTGAGCCCTGATCCATGCTAGCTTGGCGGCGGCGGCGAGGGCAGAGCGGCGAGGGGAGAGAGAGGGAGCGAGAGAGGGGCAGACACGGTGTGCCTTGTGCTGGCAGTCCGTGTTCTTGTGACGGTGCTCGGGCCTGCACGCACGGGGTCTGCTCGCCAGCCGTGGTTACTGGTAAGTTCCCTCGCCGACACAGCAGGGCCGGGAAGACGCATATTTCCGATCCTGTGGACGAGAGAAGGCCTTCGGGTCGTGTTTTTCCATGCCAGGCCGCGGCCTCTCGCTCTGTGCGACGGGAAATTGTGTTGCCGTGGAATATGTATCGCTGCGGTAGTGTCTCTTATGGAAAAGTGTTTTTTTCTGAGATGGAATAGGGTGCGTGATGGTGTGACTGGCAATTTCCCTCAGAGGCGCGGAAAGAGAAAAAAAAATCTGCCATACTCGAGCGGCTGAACGACTCGGCTCGCGGAACAGGTTGCATCAGTTTCCTTCGCGTGGGGATCCAGCGATAGAACCAATAAACAGCAACATCCCTGGAAGCCCAATCCTTTCCTCCTGGAATCAGCTGATCTCGATCCAGGATGGAACAATTCCTGCCTCCACCCCTCCCTCCCCCCTCTGCACCCCTCCTCTCAGTTTTCCCTACAGTGAAGGCCAACGATCGATGTGGCTCTCCCTCGCGCTTTCCCCTTACTTGACATCGCTGCTTGTTTCCCTCGTCTTTCCCTCTCCGTCGATACCGCTACGGAGTGACGGCCAAGGATGCTGGGAAGGGCGGCGGGGGGTTGCAGGAGAGCCAGGGAGCGCGAGCGGAGGCTGCGGCCCCCTTTTTATCTCCTCGAAGGACAAAGGCGCATCGGGTGCTTCAGCATCCGTCGGTCGGCTCAGCGCTCCCGAGGAGGCCGTCCGCGAGAGGGGAGGAAAGTGGGGTGCTCGGCGGAAAGAGGGGGCGGGGTGCCGCTTCGTTTTTGAGGGTCACTTTCCCTCCCAAGAAATACCTGAGTGAAAGTCCTTTCGTCATGAGGCGAATGCGTGGCTCGCGTCCTGCAGCTGGGGCGGCGGGCTACCCGGCCGCCGTCTGCAGTTGCAAGGTGGAGGAGCAGGAGCAAGAGTAGCAAGAACGGATGACCCCCACACCACCCCTGAGCCCCTTGCCCCCCCTTCCCCCATTTCCTTATCCTTCCCTCTCCTTCACTCGATCTAAAACCTCAAGGGTAAATAACTAAGTCACGTCCGTTGTTTTTATAACCAAGTGTTTGTGTTCGTCGGCGGCATTGCTTGTAAATCTTTGTTGTCGTGATGGCGGCAGCTGGTTGTAGAGCCGAGTGTTGTGATTCCTTTCTTTATTTTCTCTCCACATCCTGTCGCCGGAAGTGGGTTAAAGGGTAAATGGCTCTTGTTGGTTTTACTGATCTGTTGATGGTGATAAGCGAGTCCCCGTGACCTGTAAAGACTCGGCCTCGCCTCTAGGGGTCGTCGTCGCTCGAGAAAATGCTTTTTCTGACTTCTTTCTTCATTTTTTGATTGACTTTTTGTTTGTTTGTTGTTTTGTTTTTTGCGTATTTTTGTTTGGGTGGAGGTAATTGAGATCTTACTTTTGAAGGGATAAATTCGAAGCCTTTAAGATCTCATCGGCTTTAAAAGACGAGGTAAAATCCTACTGAGTCGCTTTAAATACAAATATGTTATGATATAAGAAAACTCTCTGGGTTTCAGAAGATGAAGACAGATGAACATCGCTCGCGGTGGAACATCACCTTCGCGCTGTAAGGGAGCGAATGAAACATATTTAAGTTTTCCCAAGCAGGTTTATCAGCGTGGAATATTTACCCTTCCCCCTCCTGTCTCCTCTTCTCCCCTCCCTTCTCCCCTCGTCATGGCCTCCCCTTTAGTATCCATGCCCAAGTTTCCCCCTCACTTTCCGCCTCCTCCTTTCCTCCCTTCCCCTAACTCACCATAGCCCCCTACTCCCTATCCCTCTCTCGTATTCGTACTCCTTCGACCCTACCCCCCTTACCCCTTCAAATGTACTTCTTGCCAGCTATCACCTTCTCTCCTCTCCCATTACCCATTCAGATGTATCTCCCTAACGCGTACCCCTTGCCCTAATGACCCGTGACCCTTCTCCTTGCCCTCTCCTCCCCCCTTTATCCATTCCCTTCCTTATCCACCTTCTACCCTTGCCCCCCTCCACTTTATCCATTCCTCTTTATCCCACTTCTTACCTTGCCTCCCTCCTCTTTATCCACTTCCTTTATCCACTTCAACCTTTATCCCTCCCTTTATCCA